ATTCCTGCACGGTTTGCAGCCAGAGTGCCTGAGAACCACATTGGGCGTGGGCAGAGAAACTCCTTAATGGAAAGCAGATTGCAATCTGTGCAGTGACATCACCCGTAGGGCTCTTGGCAGGAAAAGAACACGTTTGTGCTTTTCCTGTCCGTTTCTTCAACAAGCAGTAAGTTTCCCTTTTAAGAAACAGCTCTAACAAACAGCCCTGAGTCCTCTCCTATTAAAGTCAGGAGCAGGAGCCACTCTCTTTCCACGGAATTGCCCAAGGGAAGCATTGCCACCTCCCATGGACAGAGACTCACCAAGTAACATTTTCTCCTATTCCAGCTGACATTTGGTGTTAGGAACAGCATCCTTCACTTAAAAAAGATGCTGTTGTAATTCCCAATGTATGTGGGAAGCTCTAGAATCAGACTTTGAGGGGTTGGAATGGACCCTACAGATCATCAAGTCCCAACCCCCTGCCCTGGGATGGGACAGCTCCCACCAGAGCAGGTTGCTCAAGGCTCTATCCAGCCTGGCTTTGAACACTGCCAGGGTTGGGGCAGCCACAGCCTCCCTGGGCAACCTGTGCCAGTGTCTCACCACCCTCACAGGGAAAAACTTCCTCCTAATATCTAGCCTAAATTTCCCTTCCTCCAATTTGAATCCATTACCCCTTGTCCTGTCCCTGCAGCTCCTAACCACGAGTCTCTGCAGCTTCCCTGGAGCACCTTCAGCTCCTGGAAGGTTGCTATTAAGTCTCCACACAACCTTCTCTTCTCCAGGCTGAACAGCCCCGTCTCTCCCATAGGAAAGGTGCTCTAATCCTCTTATCAGCTTTGTGGCCTCCTCTGTCCTTGCTCCAATAGTCTGATAAAGGGTTGGAATGGACTTTAGAGACCATCTAGTCCCAACCCTAATATCTAGCCTAAATTTCCCCTGCTTCAACTTGAACCCTAGACCTCCTCACCACATAGAAACCTTTGGAAATTTACCCTCAGACATGAAAACACTAAGGAAAAAACACCTAATCTGTTAATCTTTGTTATTTCTAAGCTGAGGACAGACCTAGAGGAGACAATTCCTTGTTTTGAATTGCCCAGGCCTGACAATGTTGTTGTTGGATTTTAAGATTCTTCCGCTCCTTTTTACAGTGCAATAAAAATGTGTATTTGGCACAATTCCCTCAGACACATTTGGAAAATAAAACCTGTGTTATTTTATGCCAGATGAACAGGACACAGAAAAATAAACACGGGATAATGGGACAACTCCAATGGTTAGGGATTTAAAGGAAAGACAACCCAGAGCGATGTCTGTATAACATTTAATGGCAAATCAGTGTCTCTAACATCATTATATTATTCTGGTACAGTTTCTTCACACACTGTAAAATACTCTACAGTAACTACACTTTAAAAAATCCTAATTAAAAGAGGAACACTCTGTAACAGCAGAAATAACTCAAGGGAACACAGAAAGGCTCTTTAAATAGCCAAGTGCTATCGATCCATCTCAACTCATCTCACACCACGTTTAGCCCTTTGTTGACAGCAAAATCAGGGATCCAGAGCTGATGCAGTGAACATTTCCTAATCATTCCAGTTTACACCCCAAATCACTGGCAGCACAGAGCAAACTCTGATCCAACCCCCAGGGGGATTGCTCCTGTCTTAAATCAGTCAGGATTTGCCTCATGCCCTAAACCAAGAGGATTTATAGTGCTCCCAACCAGGATAAAAGCAAACAGCAGGAAGGAGAGGGTTGGATAGCACTTTCCAACTGCAGTGCATCCACAGAAGCTCCCCAGACTCTCCATGGAGCTGCGTCCCAGCTCCCAGGGAAGGCTGAATTCATTCACCCAAAGCAGCAGCATGACCAGACACAAAGCCCATACACAAGATGTGTCCTCCTGAGCTGCTCCCCCGTGGTGAGAAGATGGAAAGGAAAAGACATGTGATCCCTCTAAACCATCTCAAACCCTGAAGGAGTTCAGACTTGTGCCTGTGCACTGGGCAACATGGGCAAGGACAGGATGTGTGACTCCAGCATGGGTTTCCCCTCGGAGCAATCAATCCATGTACGGTGAAATGAAACAGGGCACAGACCTGGATCTGCTGTGTTTACTCTGGCAAAACTCCTCGCTGTAAATGGTGGGAATTTTGCCTGACTCAATGAGATTGAGGGTGCAGACAGAGCCGAGCTGGGGCCCACATGTGGGATCTCTTCCTGCAGGCATGCAGCAGGGATGAAGGTTACCTTCCTCTCCCTCCCGGGATGTGACCACGCACAGGCTGTTTATTGCACGTCTCTACCTTTCTTATCCAGTAAGGAATCTGTGATCCCAAGTCCTCCGTGGTGTCAGCAAAGCAGCGAGCGACGTCTGCACTGTGTCACCGCTGACATCTCGTGCAAGGGCTGAGCTCTGCAGCAGCGTGACTGGCGCCAGCCAAACAAAGCGGGTTTGAAGCTCAGGACACGGGGAATGAATTCCCATTCGGACACAAGTCTGGGCAGCATTCCCACCAGCCAGAAGAGGCCAAGATTTCAGCTCAAGATTTCACTCTGGAAGCCCTACCATTCCTTTTCCCACTGCTCGCAGTTTTTTTAAGAGTTGCCACATGCAGAGGAGGAGGAGAAGGAATTTGTAGGCAGATCCCAGCAAGCCCCTTCCCAAACTGACTCACCAGCCCTGCCCTGGGGAGGGGGTGGCTGCATTTGGATGCTTCATCCACCCTCATGAGTCCCCATTTCCTGAGGACTGGCACCTCTTCCTCAGGAATTGGCAGCACTGGCAAAGGAGTTACAGGAGCTCTTTAAGGCTCAGCATGTAAACGTGGCTTTACATGTAAACGTGGCTCTACCTTCAAACCTCTTGGCTTCGTGCCTGCCTTTTATTCATGTTCACTTTTTTCCCTTGGCTCCCCTTGAATATACCACTATGATTTCCAGCTTATCCTTTAGGGAAAATATATATATATTTCATATGGACCATTTTCTATCCCTGCTGACTGTTGTGTCATCACTGACTCACTCCCACCAGAAAAGAACCTGACCCTATATATTTTCTCTCTAGGTGTATCTAACACAGCACTACGATTCTGTAAAGCAAGCTGTGGGAGGTAGGTAGCAAAATAATCCCAGAAAAAATAAACTTGTGGAAAGGCACACTGTGCTGAGACAAGGGCTGCTCTGTGCCACCCTTACAGGCAGCATTTCTGTGCTTTCCTTCCCTCCGGACACATGAACTGGTGTTTTTGGCTCTCAGCCTCAAGTTTCCACATTTCCTGGAGGGAATAGTATTCCCTCTTGCTTGAGAGCAGTTTTTGTTAATTGTTAATTACTCCCAGAGTCTGAAGGGTCATTTAGTAACTCACTGATGCTGCACCTTTCACTGATGCTGCACCTTTCATCAATGCACTCACAGCTGTCCCTAAATCAGGTCGTTTGTCCCTGGGACATATTCATAGCACCTCTGTCACTTCAAAAACTCTAAGCTAAGGGGCACGTTTGCAGCTCAAGTGTACCCAGGGTTCTTTCAGAACTCGAGTTTAACAGTATTACAACCCTATAAAATAGTAGGGTCATCAAAAACGAGAGAAAATTGGCTGTAAAGCTTTAGGAAGCAGTTCCCAAAGGAAAGAGTTTACTGACAGTACATCCTCCAAACTGCCTTGTGCTGCTTGATTCACCATCTCCAGGCAGGAACAGTGCTGCTGCACCTCAGCAGGAGGTTTGTCCCTTTCCCAGCTGGGATTTTGGGCTGTGGTGGGGAACAACCCCACGGCCACAGAGTTCCAACAGATGTAGGACCACAATTTTCCCAAACCAGTCTGGCCACAGAGCAGCATCCAAAATACCCAGTGCAAGGGAGGGCACAGATCCTCATTTCAAATTTGCAGCACTAATTGGTGGTCAGCCCTGCAAGGAGAGGTGCTGCATCACCCCAGCACCCTGCTGGGCTCCCCCACATCCTCCCACACCAAGGCACAGTGGTGATGTGGGCACGGGGGAAGTGACCACATCTGCTTTGGGGGTTCACATGGTCCATGCTGGGCTTGCTATGTCCAAGGCACTTCATACGGAGCATGTGGAAGGTGCTGATGAGCCAGCACTTAAAAAAGCATCAGTGACACAAGGCACAAAGCAGAGCATCTCTGCAAGTCGCCAGGGCAGTGTGAGCAGATAGGAAGGAGAGGGACTGGGCAGCCTGGCAGCTGGCCAAGGCACAGCTTCAAACCCGTGTGGCACTTCTAAGCAACTCACTTTACCAAGAAAGGCTGTGCCGCAGTCCCTGATGTCCAGAAAGGGAAACAGAGGGGCAGGGAGCAGCACAGAGACTCGCCCAAGTTCCCTCAGCAGCCCAGCGGCAGAGCTGGCACTTGGATCCAGCCCCATCCTGGCTCCCAGCCCACGGCTCTGCCCGCCAGACAGCTTCATCACCCCTGGGTCACCAGCAGCACAGAGCGAGGAGGGAGGGCCGTGAGAGACACTGGCACCAAAGGGAGGCTGTGATGGCAGCAGGACTCTGTGGGAGAGGCTTTTCTGGGTTGTCCCATGCTCCCACTCTCGGGGCAGTTACCTGCGCTTTAGCACCGAGACACAATCTTTCTTCAGTGGCCCAATCTGCAGGTGGGCATCGACACTCTCCAGGAAGAAGGCTGGTTTCAGCTTGCATGAGAAGAGAGAGGCAAACTGGCGGTTGATCTTGTGCTGGAATGGGTCCAGCTGAGCCTTGCTGTAAGAGACCTTGAGCTGCTGCAGGCAGGTCATCTTGGAGTCCTTGACTCCATAGAAGGTTAGGGCCTTTTCTGAATACTCCAGAAAGACCCCGATTGTGTGGAAAAATGGCTGGTGGATGACAGATTCTAAGCCACCAAACCAGGCCACGTAGTTCTGTCCATTCCACTGCAGGCAGCAGGACTTCTCGTTCCGCCCGAGGCGGCCGTGATTGTAAGCTTCCCGGGGGTCGAAGTCCTCAGCGATGACACCGATGCTGACCCAGCCGTCGATGAGCTCCACCTCCCAGTAGTAGTTGCCTCGGTTCATGAGGTTCAAACCCAGCACCTGCTCACAGTTGATGAACCTAGTCGGGCTCTCCGGGTAGGGGATGGGGCACAGCACCCGTTTGGCCCCTTTGGTGCCAAAGAGCTGGATGAACTTGTCAGCTGTGTCACTGTCCAGGTCAATGATGAAGGCAACTGTGTGGGACAAGAAGTAGACATGAAGATGAGGAGGGAAACAGGAGGAAATCCCCCCCCCAGACATTTCTGCTCCAATCTCCTGCTCGAGCCTTTGACTGTCATAGCTGTACTGCTCAATGTCGGGCAGAGAGTTTGATCCAGCACGATCCTTTCTGACTTGTACCATCACTCTGTCCCCTTGCTTTTAAATACCATGGCACATTTCAGACAATGAGGATCGGGAGCTGAAAGAGCTGATACTCCCACAATCAGGATGAATACAAGAGAGCAAAGGGGCTGCTCCATGATCTCAACCACTATACTAGATGTCAAAGAATCCACCTGACAGAGTAGTGGTAGGAAAATCCCATCTAACAGCAGGTTTCAGGTGATCACAGGCAAATACAGCAGAGAGGAGCCCAAGAAGACAGGAGAACAGCCAGGCACATCACAGCCCAGATCACATCACATCTGGAGCCCAGATCTCAGTGGGTTGCACTGTGCCACCAAGGCAGATCTGCTCCCCTAAGGACATCTCAGTGGGTGACCCCATATCCCCTGTAAGGCTCAGAGAGGCCGCACAGGGTGCTGGAGCCCAAGCTCTGCACTCTCCAGCCTCAGCCCTTTCTGCCTCACTCTGCTCAGCCATGAATGAACCCTCTCATGCTGCCACTGCAGCTGACTCTCACCAGGCTGGTGTTCTGCAGCAAACAAGGCAGATGCACAAATTCTGATCT